TGTTTTTTTCAGTCGGGCTACCAAAATGTATCACCGCCCTGCCCGACGGGCTATCTTGATTGAATAGTGATATAAAATTCCTAACTTGATTCACGTTGTTCACTCGCTTGTAGGGGTGAAACGGATCGTAGTTGATCGTTTGCACTTGTTTCTAAGTCCTGCCGATTTAAACATTCAAGCGTTTTAAAACATTCGCGCGCATTCGGAGCTAGCGAGCCGTCTCTGCGCGCACTCATTCAAAGTGCGCACAGGGAGCTGCGTTTCAGACAATGCGTGCACAGAATTGATTCCTCTTTCGCATATCCTTGCTTCTGAATGAACACATACACACAAAATTATCTAAAAATAATTGTTTCTGCAAGTATTCTCGTAAACACAGTCGGTTATGTCTTACGTGAACGTAAACAGTGGAGAAAGAAATCTCCTGTGCATCATTATATTGGATCCGTGCATTCGGTCTTAAAGGGGCAGCAGCCTATAAATACCTGCTGTTCCATTAGTGCCACCTGCTGTCAGAGAGTGACATTTGTGTCTCATTCTCAAAGCTAAAATCAGACCATTCTGTTTTTGCTTCAAATTTTGAAATGATACAATCCAAATAACATGTATTTAACATCTTTTTTGTATAGTAATTCAAATGCACTGGTTGCCTCTGATTTTAAATAGAGCACAGGCAAAGCCTTTATTTATATGAAGAGATTTATTTTAGTTGTATAATTGTTTTATTTGATTTGGGATTTATTTTAAAATTTCTAGTTAGTTTTATTATTTAACATTTTAATTTCACAAAGAAATATGCAGCATTTTGTCTGAGAAATAATAAAAGGACACCTTTTAATTTATAACTTGTCTTCAATCTAATTTTGTAAAAAAATAAATATATACATAAATTGTAAGAAAATTGTATAGTGTAATCTGTATCGTGAATTTTAGTGAATCGTTACATCCCTATATGCTACTAGTTTTTGCTGATCATGCTGATTTGTCCACAGTAAAGTTCAGCCGATGTCTTTTTTTATTCGTGCTAGTTAAATTAATTTTGGGCTACCAAAACCTGAAGAATGCCTGCCCGAAGGGCTACCAGGGATTTTCGAAATTTTGCGAGCCCTGTACATTTATAAAAAAAATGTATAAATTACATAAATTCTTTAGATTATAAAATTAAAATGAATTGAATCTAAATATCTAAACATTGACATTTTTTTTTTTACATATTTATATATTCTATATTTAGAATATGTATATATATATATATATATTAGGGGTGTAACGATTCCAAGCAGCCACTTCAGAAACGAGCCGCAGCTGGCTGATAAACACAAGCACTGACTAGAGCGGCCGCAATCAGCTCCGGTGGCCGTGGAGCCGTAGCGCGACGCAGAAGCGTGCAGTGAGGCGCAGATCAGCTCTAACGTCACTGAATCTGCTGTTAAAAATGAACCATCCATTCATCATATCATCATGCAAAACATACACGACAGATAGCAGATTTTTAATTGTTTCTCGAAACGTTATAGCATTTCCACACCGGCGATGACATGACTGTGACTCCAAATCATTTATGTCCCCACGCATCATGTACGTCGTCACGCGTTGACGTCATCAAATTGCGATCGGTTCGTGAGATCGGCCAAGTTAGTGAGTACCGATCGAGTCATAAAATGTGATTATCGGCCGATACCGATCTCCGGCCGATTGATCGGAGCATCCCTAATATATATATAATAAACATTTCATATCACCACGCAAATATTAAAAAACTGCATTTCATGGCAACACGCAAATATTTACAAAAAAAATATTGTGTGTTTAACTGGTTGTAATATATTATTAATATCTAGCACACAAGCAGGGACCAACAGTACACCTTCAGGAAATTTTACACAGCTACAGTAACAATTGTGCAAACATACGGTCCTCACTATACACACACATGACTGCATGATTTACAATGGGGAAGTAGAACAGTCTAAAATGCAAACAAGTCTTGTAGGCAAGCAGACCATCACCTTGTGGTTGAATTCTCACAGTATGCAGTGGTTGAAAAGCAATTCCTAGCAATCTAATCTTCCCAACATCTACACTGAACACATCTTCAGTTTAATTAGGAAAAGGTGCAGATTTGTATAAAAGACAAAACTATTCACGTTCCTCAAAAACAAACCGCATTATAATTTGGGTTCCATCTAACCTCATAAAAATGGTAGCAAACCCACATTTCACTCGACCACCGAAATCAAAGCAAGTAAAACAAGATGTTGCAGTAATTTCTCCAAACACCCCAAATGACAGAAACCGCATGCATTGTTTAAAGACAGTAAAACACATGGGAAAAGTGACAGGATGGGAAGGATTGGGAAGCTTGAGTTTTAGATGTACTGATTTATCGGCAGATGCTGATAGCCGATCATAATTTTTACAATTGTCAATATTATAAATATATACTGGCATATGAATGAAATACAGCAACATAAAAACAAAAATGTATTTATTTATTGTTTTATTGTATTTTTGGTATGTGTTTTCCCAGAATTTTGTAAATTACACTTTTTTTTCTTTCTATAACATACTTATATATTAATAAAAAATAAAAAATATATACATATATAAAAATTTGTATAAAAATAATTTACAAAATATATATTTTTAAATACGTTTTTAGATGATAGATAGATGATAGATAGACAGATAGATATACAGACAGATGATAGATAGATATAATATAATATATTGAAAAATATATACATAGAATTTTTAATGTTAATATTTGTCTATTTTAAAATTTGTCTACTGTCTACTTGCATTATTACCCCTATCCAACCAATGCTCAATTTAATATTTGTCCGTATCAATATGGTTAATAATATATTGTGCATCCCTGTTTCTCACAGCATGTGTACAGCTGTGTTTCATTGCTTGTTTTCATATCTGTTCATTAGAGCGTTGGGTATCACAGGCAAAAGGTAATAGCTAGTTAGACAGCAGGAGGCTGAGACTGGGCCCTGTAATATGGGGCTAATCTCATAAAATGAGTCTTGTGATTAGACACCATCAGGGCTCTCCCCGAGTCTACGCCCAACAAAATGTGCAAAATGTTTTTAAGTACTATGGTAACTGCCACCTGAATACCATTTTTTCCAAATGATGAGATATAACAGGTCTCGAAATGAGATAAAAAGGGCCCTAAACCACAAGAGAAATAACGCGAGAGGTTTGGTTTAATGATACAGTCTCGATTGTGGGGAAACTCTCACACTAATGTTGTCTACCAATGTAGGCAGTAAACAGAAGCGTGTCTACACCTGCATGGAACTGTCAGTCACAACTCAGAAATGCAAGTGCAATGCAAAGGAGAGGAAAAACAACAGGATAATTTTTACCATTTACCAAGCTGTGCCGTTTACTGAAACTGAACACTGTTGTCTTAGAGCAGATATGAAAACAAGAGATGAAACCAACAGCTGTACACATTCTATGACAGAGAGGGATGCACAGTATATCAGTAGCCATACTGATATCGGCAAATATTCAATCTTCAGCTTTGGTCAGATTGGGCTAATATTGGAAGCAGACAATAATCTTTTTATTTCTGATTTAAATGGCACATAAATGTGGTAGTTGTAGTATAATATTACATATTATATAGTGTATAGTGTGTGTAAATATATATATACACATATATCATTTTAGATTTTCTATATATTCATATATTATATATGAATTCATTTATATTATATATAAATTGAATGTGTGTGTGTGTGTGTACATACAGATTTATACTCAGTGTGAGAAAATTGTTACCAGATCAATCAAAATACAGTCAAAAGCTTTTTCTCTGCTCCAATATTGCCATTTTTAATGCATTTGCTTTTTGTAAGTCAGTATAGATTTATAATATTGACTATTTTCAAAAATAATGGCTGACTATCAGTATTGGAAAACATAGTGTATAAAAAGACATAATGAAGCATCACCTCACTCACTTTCAAAGTCAGCATAAAAAGTAACAGTTCACTTTTAATGTAATGGAGACTCTTAATCTTCACTCTTCCGGCACATATGCAGCAATCCAAGATCTCACCACACTCACAGTGAACCGGCCCATCGTGAGCCACTACACACTGACTAACCACCTTTGTGAAACCTGAAACTGAGCCTCTGCTGAGAATCCGCGGTAGGCAACAGAGAGGTTTTTGTCAGGAGCGGTGCATCTTCTTGCATCAGCACTTATGGGAGATTACAGGTTATCCAGGTTTGTCATTTGGTTCAGATGAAGGATACCCTCCTCCTCAAAGGTGCGTAGGCTCCTATGACCTCATATTATGAAGCTGTGAAGGGTTTCATTAAGGCCTCAAAACAAGCATCTTGGTGTACAGCTCATCAAGGAAGCCATTAATTCACAAACCTTAAATGAACACTGGTCGACCTGAAATGTACTGAAAAGACAGCCCTTGGAAAGCCACCAGAGAACTAAATCACATATTGTTGGTCTCAGGGAAAAGTATACACTGAAAATACTTTACTGTACCATGTCTGGAAACAAACTGACATCATACCAAACAAGAGTACCACAAACTGTATCACCGCGGGGGCGTTCCCTCTTTTACTTGCTTCCCTTCGCTTTTAAATAGCTTAAAAGCGCCGTGCGCATTTCACTTTCACTTTAGAATTAGTGGCAGTTAGGCGTCAATTGCTTGAATGCAACAACAAAATACAACGTCAAACTCACTTTAGCGTATATATAAAACATAGAATTTTTATTAACAAAACAAATAAAAATACACCATGCTATAGGGCAGGCTATGCCTAATATAAAATAACAAATAACTTACATAAAAAAAAGTCAAAATGACGGTGGGGGTGGGTGATGCGGTGGGCAAGAGACGTAACCGGTGTTGTGGCTTAACACCGGTATCACTGTCAGCACCGTCTATCGCAGCAAGCCTACTAAGCATTGCACACAATAAACCAGTGCTAGTCTCCAAAACCAATTAACTAACCTTGAAAAGCAGCCACGTTGCGTGAGATGAGGAACTTCAGACTAGAGCTGGTTATCTGGAGGAGGTTCTGGACGTCCCGTCGCGCCGCCACCTGGTAACGCTCCTCCATCTTCTTGGTGCAGCACGTTAGATTCTTTGACAAACAAACCTGAAGATCTGAACCTGTTGGGATGAAGGTTGGGATTGTTAACCAAGGTGGATATGCACGTCTGCATCTAGGAATAAGTACATTTTCTGTCAACAGTGACAGTTTTCTTCACCTAAACAATTATATAAAAAGATACATAATACATTAATTTATTATTATTAATTAATCATGTTCTCACCAAACTTCTGCATCTAGGAAAAAGTACATTTTCTAAATAATTATAAAATACAAAAATATAAAAATACATCTGTATTATTATTATTAATAATAATAATAATAATAATAATTAGTAGTAGTTTAGTAGTAGTTTACCTAAACAATTATATGGAAAGTTTATAAATAATTATATAAAATACAAAAATATAAAAGATACTTATTATTATTATTATTATTCTTCATCTAAAAATTATATAAAATAAAATAAAAAATGCAATAATTAGTCTATTATTATTTTATTAATTAATATGTATATTATACCACCCAGACACAACATATCAACCATCCTAACAACCACCCAGAACAGCTTAGCAACTGTAAAGCAACTTTCATGGCAATCGGTAAAAACAGCATTGTGGCAGACACAGCTCATTTTATTAAAAAAAAAAAGTTTTTGTAAATGTAAATCTTTACATTTACAAATCCACTTATGTTAAGGACCATTATCAGACTCATACTACCACCGGCTGGTCATGAAACGCCACGTTTGTGCAAGACGCAGCAGGCCGGTAGGGTGGGGGAGATAAAAGGGCTGATATCTCTAGCCATCAAAATTCTTATCCCACTGAGATCCGACAAAAACTTTCCATCACTACAAACTTTTTTTTCCCCAAAAAAGGTCAGTGCAAATGACAGCACCTAGGGGGGCTATAGCTCTAGGAGAACAGCACGGGACGTGCCAGGACGAGCCAACTGTTGCTAAAGACACTATCACCACACCACCACACAATGTTTTGAGTTCCTGAGCAAGATGCAAAGGAGATGGCTTGAGGAAAGGAATTCATCTCTGTCTCACTAGAACGAAATGAAAGCGCCCCAGGAAGTGTTTATTTCTCACTCACAACCCGTTAAGACGTTTAAGTGTAATCACCTGAGAGAATAAATCCACCCAACTGTGAACTTCCCACCCTCCCTTTTTTGCCCCGGTTTCACATGATTCAACAGGCTGTGAGACTTGGGAATTGTTGAAGACGACTGAAGAAGGGACTCCTCGTAGGTCATCCCACAGACAGAGGACCTCCTTGATGACACATTGCTGCTTCTACGTTTTGTAACATTAGCTGCGTTTCCATCCACCTATTTTTATGCGCATTTTGGAATATCGCATAAAAAAAAAAAAGCTGGATGGAAACGCCAAGATGCGCATAAATTCTAAAAATGTGCATAAAAAAACTTATGCGCACATTTGAATAGGATAAACTTTTTATCCGATAAGAAAAAATGCGCATAAACTACGATGGAAACACATTTACCGAATAAATTCCTCCATGCGCATTGAAAAAGTCATGTGACTTAGTGATATTTAGTGCCACAGTTTACCAGGAAGTGACGATTTTGTTCTCTTTGACTCGTTGGATGGAAACTTTATTCGCATGTGTTTTATGTGATATTCCAGTTTTGCGCATAAATTTAATTTGAATTTTGGGATGGAAACATAGCTATTTTGAAAGTAAAATGCCCATGAGTAGCATTCAGTTTTATCCAAAACAGCTGAACTTAAATCTGAATGTTTTTTTGTTTTTTTTACACTGGTTGATGTGCGTATTGTGGCAGTGCATAAATGAAATGTACAGCGAGTGGCTAATAATGTACCACCTACAGTAAACCTAACCAATACGGTTAACAAAAAGCAAATGCGAAATAAAAACGCATTTGCTGAAGCAACCATGGCATTTTAGCTGGCTTCAACAAGTCTTTAAACTCTTTCATTGTGACTCGTGTTTCACAGGACTCGGACCTGAGCAGTTTTTCTGCACCAGGTGCGCTACCGAGCAAGTTTACTACATCGGAAAAGCTGCACACATGGAGCTGGTTATGTGATTCAAATGTCAAAATGCATTAGTTTACAAATATGCACTTTGATAAAAGTGTTTTGCATTCATAGCATAGTATTATGCAAGAAACTGCATGAGAATGTGTCTTTACATAGATTATTGATTTATAATCATAATTTGTGTAAAAAGAAACGTTATTGGTGTTTTACTGCCTCTAGTGTTCATTTCAGCTTGAAACGGCAGTGAATTGTATGTACAGCTATTTTTTTGGACTTTTTCCAATGAACCTATGTTGACAACTCTCCCACGACATCCCAATGCTCAAATAAGAGAGAAAATACTCTGAAGTTCATGCTTCTTTGAAGCCTCATACACCCCCAGCACTTTCTTACATGAAGGCATTATGAAGAAATTACCACAAAACCCCAAGATTAATCAAATCAAAATGCAACGTGAGGCTTGGGTTTTTATTGTGCTAGCAGCGACATGCTGTTTCAGAGGTCTGAGCGAAGCAATGAAAAGAGTGATTTGGAAAAGACATTGCGTTTTACAAGCTTCCCCGACAAGAAAAATGTCTGGCACGCAAGCCAATGCTACATTAATGCGAACTAACAGAAATAAACACCTTTGAGGAACCGTTTAAATGTCAACATGACTATTTTTAAGTCTTTTATTTACCCACCCACCAACTATGGTGGTCAGTTTATTATTTGATGTTTTAGGACCTAAGCTCTCACACGGGTCATGTGGTATGGGATATAATTGGCCTGAAAATCACTGGACATCAAACTGTTTGCTTTGCTCCTAACATCCAAGATTGGAAGCAGAGAGAAGAAAATCACACCAGCATTGAGAAAACAGCAATAAAAGTCTGTCCTTCAAGACACCTTCCATCACAATGCCTCGTTTGCTCCACAACATTTTAATAAAACCAAAAGAGTCAGGAAAGCTTTGAACATATTGCTTTATAAAATAAAACCGGAAGGAAAAAGTGGTGTGATGGGAGTGACAGCAAAACAAAAGAAGCAGAATGCAAGTCTATCTCAAGATGTGTTGATAAGAGTCGAACAAAAACGTATTAATGAATATCTTCAACAAGGTCAAACTTGATCTGTAATCATTTACATTACGGTCTCTGCACATTTATCATAAGCTTAAAAGAGAACGCATAAAATCATGCACCTGTTTTTCCAGACGTACATAAAAACTCATACACATAAGCCTAACAATGTTTTCTCTAGATCTGCGGTCAAATTTAGGCAAAATTATATCTACTAATCTCAAAGAAAGCTAACCTAAATCCACATTATTTGCTAATTGCTATTTTCCAAAAAGAGCATTAGCAAAAAACAAAAACAAAGAGGACAGTAGAAAATGTGACTAAAAAAACTACAGAAATAGACCTCTTTTTAAGCAAAATGACGCTTGACCTTGTTGCCCTTGTCAAGACATCAACTTTTAGGAGAGGATGTTAAATGTACAGTACAGAACACGGTATGATTTCATTCCAAGTCAATTACTATAATTACAGTTAATTACCTGATCGGTATTTTAAAAATGTTTCATAAAACTAAATCACAAAGCTGTAAATTTTAACGGCTCCCAGTCCCAACCAAAATCTCTGGAGTTCAGGATGAGCAATGAATATAAACACCTTACATTACGACTTTACCAGCAAACCACACAACCCCTAGCTCTGAATTCCTGTAAAACTCAAAAACGGACCTCTTCCAAGCAGCACTTTGAAGTGAGCTCCATTTGATGACCTCTGTGGGAAACCGGGTACAAGCTGTTCTCCTCAAGCCACTTAGCATCCATTAATGCAGCAAAGTTTGTCAAACTGGTTAGAGGTTGCCTTTCCCTTCTGATAGAAGCAGCTAGAGACTATCAATAATCATTATTTGAGACTGAGGCCATAAAACTAGTTTCAGATCACAAGAGCAAGAGGGAACTATTATCCAACCAAACTGACAAAGACCGTTTCAGAGGCCACAAACCAAACAGTCCTCAGAGATATACATGACAGCCATTTAAACCAAACAGAGCATTTTCTCGTGACTAATTGGCACCAGTTAGTTTCTGACCTGTATACTTGATCTCGAGGAGTGATTTGAGAAAACAGCAAACTGATTTTAAATCTCAGCTTGAGGCTGAATAACAAGTAAACCACTTTGAACTGCAGGGTTTGATGAGTGACTGGGTTATGTTCAGTCTCCAAATTCATCTTTTTGTAAACGGATTTGTTTTTGCTAGAAGCTGGAGCGCTTGTGAACACCAACAGCAAAAGATTACTCAAAAATTGTTCCAAGGGACACTTTATCTCAATTTCCTGGCAGGTTAAGTCGTGTAGCCTACAAATCCTATAAACTTAAAAGCACGGACTTCAGATGTTCTACTTCCAAATTATTTTAGTAGCCTAAACGTGCTTTTCTTAAAAAGTAAACTGAAAATCTTTGGTCTTAAGTCTTTCGAGTGAAGCGAAACAACTTTAAGCTTTCAACTGCTGCATGAGACACCATTCATTACCTGAGTTTATTTGAAAAGTAATGCCCCTCAGTCCAAACAAACAGTCTTTGAGTCGACGATTATTACCTCAAACTTCTAAAGCCGGTAAACGCGCCCCACGGCGAGGAATTGACTAAAGCGTCTTGAAAGCGTAATTTGAAGGTCGTATATCAAGCGATGAAATATTTTGGGTGAATTTCGCGCAGTTAATAAAACTATTCAAATCTTTTACATAATCGAAGCGTGGAAACGCGTTAAAGTTTTTCTAACTGAGGTGACAACAGGTTTCGCGCTGAATTTTAGCTCGCTTGTTTATTTACATTAGCCTACTAACTTACGCGTTTCCGCATCAAGAATGATTTGAGAAAAATGTGTCAAACTCCAAACTGTGTACTAAATCTTTACTATAAAAAAAAAAACTGACATCGGTTAGATCGTTTATATTTTAAATGACCATCTTAACATCGGTTGTGGGTAAAGGAACAAAAATGAATAGGTTGCTTAACTGTGGCACAAAATCAGAAAGTTTTGGAGATACAGCTCAACACTGACATGTCAAACTCAACAGATCTTACCTGTTCTCGGTGCTTCAGGTATTGATTTTACAGGTCCGATGTCCTTCAACTGAAAAACTTTACGCACTTCATTGCAGTTCATTAAAGTCCCCCGACACGGATCGATGACAACCGCAAAAAATACATAAACCAAAACGCCACGCATCCCCATTTCCATAAGTGTTTATCCTTTCGAGTAAAAAAACTAGAAAAGCGGTGGTGTTGTATAGGCCAAGTCTCAGAAAACTCGAAAACAGCAGTTGAGTTCAGGTGAAGAAAAATATATTTCAAGAGATTGTGCATGTCCCACTCACGCGCCTGGGGAGGGTTTCACGCAGGACCTTCAAAAAGAGCGCAATGAGTGTGTTGGTGAAAGACGGAGCTGTCAAGAGAATGGGCGGAATCGTTAGTGTAGTTAGACTGCAAAGAGAGGAGCCTCTAAATACACCATCTACACGACCGACGAAGCGGACTAGTATGACACAATATCGAGAGCTTTTAGGAGCGTAGCCTATAGTGTCGCAGTCGCAACATTTTACTAAATATGGGCGCGTTTTGAACCCTAATAGGCTAAGACAAAACTCTAGGAATTTTAAACGTTTATATTTTTTACTATAAGTCAGGCACTTATTCCTTCACGATAAATCTTACGATTAGTCAGCATGAGCTAAATGTATACGCGCGCAAACATAATTCGCTGTTGCTTGATACTGTAACCATAGCAACAGCTGCTCGATTGGAGTTACTGTAATAGTTACCCATTACATACACAACATAACTGTTAATGCGCTACGGGCGTCAGAAAAAAATTTAAATACAGATTTATTTTTAAGTGGATCCCCTACACCATGCCCCAAAAGTCTGTCTATATTGGCTTATGTAAATAACAAAAAATAAAAAAAACGAACGTTTCACATGCGTAAAGCTAGTGAATGTTGAGGCAAATTTTACATCGTTTCAGTATTTCAATTAATAATAATTGAAAATACACAAATGCAATAATGAAAACCAAGAATGGGGAACTTCCAAAAACAAAACAAACCTACTTGTTGGGTACAATCTCCACAATCCTCTACAGGCCGGGACAAGTGCAATACCTTCCAAACACACAGCATTGCTACCAATCCCAACCTGTGCAGAAAGGGACCAAACGGCTCCAGAAGCAGTTCTCGGATGCGAGCTGCCACTGTCAGTTTTGCATGGATTTGCACAGCGCACAGTCTTAAAAGCTGAATGCAAACCAGCAAAACTGACCGGGGTCCAGCAAGTTAACAGACTGGTACGGAGACCTCAGGAGTGTTCACAAGAGTCTTCAGATCCTAGATGCATTTAGCTAGAAGTACTTCAAGTGCTCACACTGCAGTAGATGACAGAAATACTACCTGCACTATAAGCACTTTAGCACTGCTGAAACTCTAACACAATGGCAACACTGGCAGATTTAAAAGAAAAGAGAGGGGTGGGAAAAATTGAGCCACCGCTTTTCAGATTTCAAATCAAAATCTGGGAAACGTGGAGAAGCAGCAGGCCACCATCAGTTTTGCATAGATTTGCACAACTCCAGTTTTCTTGTAGTGCAACTATGCAAAACTAGCAGAGAACTGCACCAAAAAAAGAAAGGAAAAAACACTTAATTCACATATATATATATATGGGTGAAAGTCACAGTCCCTCGTGCCAGAAGGAGCACTTAGGGCAGTAGGTGCTAGTCTACTTCACTATCTGCACTAGATGCACCTTAGCACAAAGCCGTTAGGTATGGTGTCTTGGTGAAGGATGCTTTAGGCAGAGGGAAAAGGCAATGGTCAAGTGTATTGCTAGAAGTGCCTCCACTGCAGTAGATATTCCATAATACTACCTGCACTGTAAGCACTTTGACAATACATTGACATCCACACCATCAAGAATGGACGGATGCCTCCAAAGAACTTGCGGGCAACTACTCCCATCTTTCTTGAGGTTTCTGAGAGGGCGAAGGGGAGAAATATTCGAGTTATTTAATTGCCTACATTATAATTCAAATGCAAAAGAGGAAGAGTAAATGGGATTTACTTTCTAGACTACAAAAGCGAGGGCCTCATGGCAAAGCACATGCCACTGCGGTACCATTCATACCCAACTCTGACGGTGTAGGCTATCCCTCTTTAAAAAAAAAGAAAAAAAAAAGCTAACTCCACCAAACCATCATTACCTACTTCGCTCCCTCCGTTTTGAAGGTGCATTTCACTATCAATTTCCAAGTTATGAGAACTAGAGTTGAGCGAGTTTATGAATTGCGCATCCTGCGGACCGCGCCGTCTGTCTGTGTGGCGCATGCGCAGTGAGGCGCTCCCCATTCACCCCTCCCCCAAACACGAAACAATCTGCACTAACATGGCGCCGTTGAGTTCACGAACCGGATAATTCTTCGCTCAATAACTACAGTATTCGACAACTACTAATAAGTTAAATGTGTCAAACAGGTAGAAACAAGAAAACATGGCTGGGAAATAAAGTGGCGCGTTGTTGCTTTTGCGTTCGGCCGATGTTGAGGGCAGCGTTAGCCGCTAATGCTAAGCTAACTGGCTAGGAGTGTGGCTTAAACATGCACTTAAAAATATAAAAGCAACGAAATGTCTTAACGTCAGCAAATAAGGCGCTCGTGGTATCTACACGAAGCGTTTCCTGAGCGAAACTAGCCGGTTAACAGTTGAACTTAAAACGGCTAGTGCGGGCTAGCTCCATCCATTCCCCATTAAAAATAACTCTTGATAAAAACCAACGAGCTCGTTATGTGGCTAGTCAACTTTAATAATTTTAACAACATTTCACACGCATCCTAAAGCTGAAAGCCATTGCAAAAAGGGGGATGTTTTTGTCCAGCGCGCCGTTGCTAAGCTAGCGTGTGCGGCCTACGCGTTCCCCATGTGCTACTGCTTTGTTCTGGAGGCACTTTAACTCGCACGCTCAACAGAACGAGAAAACATCACTCTCCAAGTCTAAAAACAACTTGATTCGCAGCCGACTACGCGAACTAGTGTATACGAGGCGAATTAAGGCGCCCTGCGCAGGCGTGCGGGGAAATAAAATAGTTGGTAGTTGCATTACAGCAAGCATGCTTTTCAAATCTCCCACATTCTCCCCAACTATGGAGGTGGAAAGGACTACCATGCGCCACTTACTACATTGTTTGTATCACCGTCGTTGTAGCTCGCAATAGCGGATTTACGAAATCCTGCGCAGAAATCATCTCCAATGTGTTTAAGCGGGAAATCGCGATTGAGTTTGTGAGACTAGAAGCCAGAATAAATTAACAACAGGTTCCTAGTCAATAACGCACAGTAAGACACTCACCAGTGAAATCCACCATCTTCACTCACTTGCCGTTTACTGCCACTGCTCTGGACAAATCTGCGAAACTGGTGCGTAAACTTAAAAGTAGACCGCGATCGAATGAAACGAACGCGGCGCGCGTCCAAAGCGAAGTGAAACTTCTGCTAAAACGACTTTCTTAATCAGAGTAAAATTGCAAAAGTGGCGCGAACCCGACCTGCCTTGAACCATGTGGGTGAATGAAGGGCGGTTCCCGTTGAACGTAAATATCTACAACCCCCAACTCCTTCATTAGCATAAATAAACTACTTCCGATCTTTAGCCCTGCAACCAATCGAAAAAAAGGGGGGAAAACGAGCGAACAGGCACGGACGCTTAGATGTCCTTATTAGTCATGCAATAAATAATAATAATAAGTCAAACCTGAAAAGCGAAAAAGTGACGCTGCAGTTGTAGTTCAATTGAAATTTTTTAATTTAAATAATAATAATAATAATACAAAAAGTGCAAAAAAGTTTTTTGAGTTACACATATAGACTATATGTTATTAGAAATATATTATTTATTAGAAATCAAAAACTGGTGTAGAATCAACAAATTGAATTAAATGTGAAATTTCGAAGTAGTAGAAAGATGGTGTGCAATGCATTAGAGTATGGTTTTCAAAAAGGTTAAAAAATACAAGTTTTAATGCCTTTTATATGTTTTTAACAATTAACATAGACACCATTAGATTTTTTTAAGTGAATCATAAACAGATAATGCATTCTTCCTCTTCTTTTTATACCCCTTTATTTTCAGTTGATGAAAAAATACATTCATAGCATAAAATTAGAAATCATTGGCTTAAATACAATGAGCATCTGTGTTCAATGTGTGAGGAAATTCTTATAAAATGTACAATTTGGATATACACAAAATGCAAGCATAATATTTGGTACATATTTACAAAGTTTTTTAATTGTAAAGATGGAAAGGTTTGCAATGACACATTAGAAATCAAAAACTGGTGTAGAATCAACAAATAAATTGAATTAAATGTGAAATTTGGAAGTAGTAGAAAGACGGTGTGCAATGCATTAGAGTATGGTTTTCAAAAAGGTTAAAAAATACAAGTTTTAATGCCTTTTATATGTTTTTAACAATTAACATAGACACCATTAGATTTTTTTAAGTGAATCATAAACAGATAATGCATTCTTCCTCTTCTTTTTATACCCCTTTATTTTCAGTTGATGAAAAAATACATTCATAGCATAAAATTAGAAATCATTGGCTTAAATACAATGAGCATCTGTGTTCAATGTGTGAGGAAATTCTTATAAAATGTACAATTTGGATATACACAAAATGCAAGCATAATATTTGGTACATATTTACAAAGTTTTTTAATTGTAAAGATGGAAAGGTTTGCAATGACACATGCAAAGAGAGAAAGAATAAGCAAGCTATGATGTACATCTATGCTGTATTGTTTAAACATAATGTGTTCATGTTAACTAGGTGGAATTCCTTTTGATAAAGCAGAACATGTGCATGTTTTCCTCTTTGTTCCTCAGAAAGTCTTCAGACGGCCAGAGTTGGAGCGAGCTACGGGCAGGTCTTGTGCTTGATCGCTGGCTTGTAACCTTCCCAACCCCCATTCCAATTCAGCACTTTGAGAAGAGGCTCTTTCGCTCAATGGGGGCAGATTTCAGGCCTCACGTGGACGAGGGGGTCACATTCGACTTAGGCTGCCTCTTGGTCAACACCCCGTTCCCCTGTGTCTCCGGACAAAGGATGCAATTCCATTTTGGAGGGAGGGAAAGAGGGAGGATATGATGAAGCTCAGAGACCTGGAGAAAAGAGAAGAACAAAAAAAATAGTTCTGAGAACTGATACAGAACGGAACAAAATACAAGTGGGAGAATTGTAAATAATTTCAACCATTTTGCATCTAAGAGAAAGAAAAAGGAGGATGAAGAAGGAAGTTCATTCTTTAAGAATGAAGAATGGCGGACAAGCAGGAAGAGGAACCATCCTGTTTCTTTGCTGCTTTTTTTTCCTATTTGCCTTTTCTCTCTCACTGCACCTTCTTCCTTATCTCTCTCTCTCTTTCCCTCTCTGTGTCTCTTCCTCTCTTAAAATGGCAGCAGACTCCTCCCACTTTAGGGGGCCAGGCGAATTTTTTGTTTGTCTTGAAAAAGCAAAGCCAGGAATTGTCACTGTTGGTGACCCAAGGTCAAGCAGACTGGCAGACCATTCAGCTGGGAAATCTCACACACGAACACCCTGAAGAAATTCAATCAACAATTGTTAAAATAATTTTTAAATGGCTATAGAAACTGTACACGGTTGCTGAAAAGTTTATTTAAATTGTATTTATTTATTTTGGCTAATGTACTTAATGTGGTTTTATTTACAATTTTGCTTTTTAATAGAGATATAGAATCTGTCCTTTTGGAAGTGCAACTCCAAAGATAAAAAAATTATATTTACTAAAACTGTACTGAATTTTATTTAAAAACTAGATGAGCATAGGTAACAATAAAATATATTATTGCATCATATATTTATTGATTTTAAATACATACTCTGAAAGAAATATGGTGTAGGATTTACTTTGAAATAGTTTTAGTTTAGAAACTGCTAGTACATTTTGCAAAGAAACAGCAAGTAACATTGATTTAAATGTGAAATTTTTAAGAAGACTGAAATAGTAAACTCAAAAAAATCTGTAAAAATAGGGCATAATGTACTTTATTTTTAATAAATCATTTTCTGTATTTATTTATTTAGGTTTACCTGTTTTACCTGTATTTTCAATTTTGCATTGCATTGCGTTGTGTTTTAGAGTAACGGAAATGTCCAGTAATTTAATGGATAATGAGCTACCACTACATTTTTTTATTATTTTTTTAATGGAAATAATTATTATGGTGTATTTTCTTTTAAAACATACTCCAGTAATATACACACACAGACAGACACACACACACACACACACACATATATATATATATATATATAGATATATTTTTTTTTAAATTATTATTATTTTTTTACAGTGTAGAAACTAATTCATCTTAGCTTTAAGTGAAGCTGCTTTTCATAATACTTAAATCTATATTCAAGATTGAAATAATAATTTTTATGCAAGTACTGTCGGCTGGAGAAGCACTGAACTGACAATAAAAACAAAACAAAAACTGGATTCTTCCAGATGTACATGGAAAAACAGTAAAATTATGGAGCATTTCATTGGTCTTATAAGTCTCTGCCAAACCACTTCAAATACATTTAGCAAGTAGTTGTAAATACATGGCAGTGATGTTTCCTCTGTCAGTGTTCACAAAATATAATTATTTTATTTATGTTTATATTTTATTGAGTCAATATGCAACATTTTGCAAATGGAATCTGGTTTAAATTACTGGTGCTACTTTTTTTTAAATGTATTTTTATGATATTTCAGTCTATTTTTTGTACAGAATGTTAGAGACTTTTTATCTTCTAATTTTATTGTTTCTGTTACATTTTGTATTATCTTATTGTTTTTTAACTAAAGTACAAACATTTACAGCTTTTTAGTAAATATTACATTTCTTGATGGTCCCTTATTTCACTACAATGTGTTTTCCATAAACAGAGTTTTCACAAGTCAGGATGTATTTATTTCATTTGCTTACTATTATTTATATCAATTGATTTAACTGTTTGGGTGTAGAGAATAATGCATTTGACCTCATATTCCTTAGTAAAATATGTAAGATCATACAATAATGTTTAATTCTGGGGTTAAATGTGTAACAAAACCTTAATTCGTTGTTGTCAGGTAACCAAAAAAATTGTAACATCTTCATTAACTGTTTTTATTTGAATCAAAACTATTGTTTATATTGAATCATACTGACAACATTGAGTTACAGCAACAAAAGGGAAATTGTAAATGTTTGCAGTTTAAATATCACTCATACTCTTTTGAGCTGCCGCTGTGCGAATCTTTTCTATTGTATTTTCTATTCATTGCAGTGTATTATAGACTTGTTGTGTTCTAACCACTGATGTTGTTTTTGTAAGAGGGTGAAGGAAGTTGTCCAGTTTGAACTTGTTTCTAGGGTTGTCTAACTGTAATTCTGTTGTTTTTCTTCAGCATGTTCGGGAAATAAAATCTTTATAACGAAAGCTCTCTCTCTGTCCTATTTTCCTTTTCCCGAAAATGCAGTTAATGTTATCACATTGGACCAAATACTGACTTTTCTCACGCAACAACTTATCAAAAACAAATGAATAATTTTTGTACTTTTGGGGATTTTCCACTTGTGGCATTCCTGGTCAAAAAGGACCTGCCTACAAATAATAAAAAATAAAAATTGCTTGCGAATGTCTTATTATGCTATTATAAGATTCAATCTTTTTGTCAGCTTGTTTTCTTTCACTTAACACAGGTTTTGCATTTCTTTTTGAAACTGATTAATTATTTATCGGAGCTTATGCACCTCAGTTTTTAAATGAACATTTCCAGAATTATCCACAAATAATGTTTTTTTTTCTTTCTTTCTTTTTTTCTTTTTTTTTTATTTAAAAAGGCTCATAAGCTCAAATCAATGAGACCTATGATCAGTTCCAAAAAGAAATACAAAACCTGTGCTAATTGAAAGAAAATGAGTAAACACAAAGATTGAATCCAATATTATAAAGAAATTTACAAGCAATTTTTAAAAGACTGTTATTATTACAAAAGCTTTATGTATCAAATATTATACTCAAAATAAAGATTATTATTATTAGTAGTAGTAGTAGTAGTATTATTACCATTTAAGTATTTCTTCTAAAGTTTCAAGGAACTGAACATTGATCCCATGATTCTCCCACAAACCCCTTTTAAGATCAAACTTATCCTCAACATAGGGGGCTAATTATCACATCATACAAAAACCACTTATAAACAATTTATCAGAGCATCATAAACAAACATAGAGAATGTCATGCTTCAAACGACAGGTACGAAGCATTATTTTACAAAATTGCATTGATTTTCACATGCTAAGACTTCTTTACTAGACTATACTTGATCTAAAAAAAAAATGGTTAAAACTTTAATATCTGTACTGGATTTTGATTTTGGTCAGAGGGACATTAAACAATTTAAAGAGAAATTATGAAATCACTATCATTATTTTTTACATAGCATGTGAGTCTTTAGGACATCAACAGAACATGAGAATAATACGCTCAAAGCTAAAGAAAAACCTTTTTCTCATTATGTTGTCCTTTATTAGTCAAGTTCAAATTATTAGTAAAGGCTGTCATATTGAATTAATTCTTCCAATATATAACATTTACAATAGAGGAAACTGGGGTTAGTTGTCACACTGAACGTTTATTCACTGTCTATATCAAAGCTTAAAATCTTGACTACAAAAACATTTTTTTAAATATATTTTTTATACGTATACATTCACAGACAACATAGAAAATCTTGATGAAAAAATCATTTTCATCGTTTTTACCCTTTAAAATGCTATCCAGAGTAAAAAACAAACAACAAAGCATTACATAACAGATCTGTACTAAATAAAGTAGTTATTTATTTATTTATTTTTTATAAATAATCTATATTATACAGAGAGAAAGAACAGCCAATAAATTTTAATATAACCCAGACCTGCCAAATATCCTTGTCCTAACAAGAGAATTAAACTTTTCAGTTAAAATCTGAAATAATAAAACTTATATTATAGTATTGACATTTTAGTTTGGAGGACAACATTTACAAAAATGTCCAAATCCAAGACTGTTTTGAACAAGGCGTCAAATCAACAGGCAGAAAACAGGCATTGCACTTTAGACTCTAAATTTGAGTACATTTTGTTTAATCATCTTCCCGTTAATCCATAAAACTGCTTCTATTTTGCTTTATAAATTATTGTAAAAACATAGCCTACAAATGAAGCAGCTTTGTGCTAACGGTCAGCTGGAAATCTTGGTTGGAAATGTTTTGGCTGGATTTCAAATAAGTGAGCACTGATTAATCAATTTACTGAACCATATTACTGCCACCCAGCGGTACAGAACGGTACGACTTTATCAACAACATGCATATAAACAGTGGCATGCGAAAGTTTGGGAACCCCTTGCAGAATCTGTGAAAATGTGAATAATTTTAACAAAATAAGAGAGATCATACAAAACGCATGCTATTTTTTATTTATTACTGTCCTGAGTAAGATATTTTACATAAAAGATGTTTAGAGATCCATCTTTTCACACTGAGGACGACTGAGGGACTCAAACACAACTATTAAAAAAGGTTCACACATTCACTGATGCTCCAGAAGGAAACACGATGCATTAAGAATTTGAAGATCAAGGTAAATTGTACTTAATTTGTCTTACGGGAAACATGCAAGTATCTTCTGTTGCTTCCGAAGGGCAGTACTAAATGGGAAAAAATTATATTTCAGCAAAATAAGAAAAATTGGGACGTCTTCATCCTGTTCAAAAGTTTTAATGCAAAAGGCTCTTAATGCATCGTGTTTCCTTCTGGAGCATCAGTGAATGTGTGAACCTTTTTTAATAGTTGTGTTTGAGTCCCTCAATCGTCCTCAGTGTGAAAAGATGGATCTCAAAATCATACAGTCACTGCTGGAAAGGGTTCAAATATGCAAATGTCAAATATCTGACTCAGGACAGTACTAAATAAAAAATAACAGGCATTTTGTATGATCTCTCTTATTTTGTTAAAATTATTCACATTTTCA